TAAAAGATTAAATGCATATTACTGTTATTCACATGAGCTCAGGTCTATAGATTTCCATTAATTTTGATGGAATTGACGTCCCTCTTAGCTCTTCATCCCCTAGTGAGCAGTCGGTGGACTTCAGGACCATGAGATATGGAAACTCTCCAGTTCGTCGCCTGTCCACTGCCTCCTCTGTCTCAAAGCCCCCTCACTTCATTCTCACTACACAGTGGGTCTGGTACTGGAAGGACGATGGTGGGAAATGGTTGGAATATGGAAAGGTGACTTATTGTGATTCTTTCAATGAGTATGAAGATCTTGCCACCCTTGACAGAACTTTTCTAAGGGAACAGATGTATTATAGTTGGCATATAGCTGGCATGTTTGGAATCTGAACTTTGGTGGATTGCTTGTTGTGTTCTCTTTAGGGTGATGAGGAATCATCAGTGACTTCTGAAACCCTGGAGAATGTATACCTTGAAGACAGAGATACAGAGATTCCGTTCAGTGCTGGCAAACAGCAATATATCCTCCGTTTCAAAGATGCGACAGGAAACCAGGCGATGTATCAGCAGAATGTAAAATTCAAAACCAAGCGAGATGTCAGGAGGAGGCCTCGCTTTGTGTCTGCTCATGACGTGGAGGACAAGCTGAAGAGGTATTTTGACTTCCACTTGTGCACATTGATTCAGGCTATTCAAATATTTCTAGTCTTGGTTGGTTGCTGAATACTGCATGTCTTCTCTGCAGTACGTCATCAAAGAGCTCCAGCTCCTCCACAGCTGAAAGCGTACCTTCGCACTGGGACAAAAATGCCATACCTGAGTTTGGATACAAGGTATATTTCTTCTATTTAAAAACAAAAACCCAACTGTGTGCTCAGTGTTACTAAACACTAAACCCATATTTCTACTTTTATTGTTGACTTGTATATTTGCACTTTATTCTTGTCTTTCAGCTGATACATCTCTCCCAATCTGCACCAGATTACAATCTGATTGAGTCTTTATTTAGAAGCACAATGCCGGTGAAAAAAATTAACAGCATCCAAAGGATCCAGAACCCGTCTCTGTGGAGAGTCTTCCAGTGGTAAATTACTGACAGAGATTTTTGGCTTTTTTAAAGAAATGATTTGAACTTTTGGAGGAACCAGGTGATAAAATAGTGAATCTACTCTACACAGTGTAGTTTACCTTAGCAGCAACACAACAGAACTTGTTACTGTTAAAAAGTGG